ATGTGACTGAATTGCTGCTATCTCATGATAAAACTTTAACAGATAAGGAATTGTTTCTTATGAATGAGCAAAGAAAGTGGTTTATTGAGATGAAATCTACTCCTGTTGAAGATGCTGTGAAGATTGTTGAAATGACAGCAGAGGATTTAGAATATCACATACACTTAATTGATAAAGCAGGGTTGAGAAGATTGGTTCCAATTTTGAAAGCAGTTCTGTGGGTAAAATGCTATGAAACAGCATTGATGCTACTGACAAGTTGTTTGTGAAAGGAAGAGTCAATCAATGAGGCAGACTTTATTGTTGTCTTATTTTAAGAAATTGCCTCAGCTAACCCAACCTTCAGCAACCACCACCCTGATCAGTCAGCAGCCATCAACACTGAGGCAAGACCCTCCACCAGCAAAAAGATTATGCATTGCACAAGGCTCACATGATGGTTAGCATTTTTTTGTAATAATGTATTTTTAAATTAAAGTATGTACATTGTTTTTTAGATATAATGCTATTGTACACTTAATAGACTACAGTATAATGTAAACACAACTTTTATATACACTGGGAAAGAAAAATTTGTGATTCACTTTGTTGCAACATTCACTTCATTGTGGTGGCCTGGAGCTGAACCCACAATATCTCAGAGATATGCCTGTATTCTGTACTATACCCACAGTTAAACCAGTGCCTAGATGCTACCAGTGACACTCCGTCCTGTGGGACTCTCAGTGTGAAAGGGACATCTAGATCTTTTGTCTTATGGCACCTGGCTCAGCTTTAAAAGCTCTATATTGCCAGTGTGCACCACACAGGGCTCAATACTGAGGACCAGGCAAGGGCTCCGTGAGCCAGGCTGGTTTGTCCAGGTCTTAAAACAAAGGTGAAAAGACACCGTTCTAAGTAGGAGGGTCCAACTTATGTCTACAGTGAAGAGTCAGGAACTGAAGTAAAAGGCCTAAATGCAGAGCTTGCCTAAACCTGTAGTTAGTATTTCCCTGTAAGGAGAAGCCCATAGTAGGAGATGGTTCAAAAGCTGCCTATGGATTGCCTTATGCCACATTTTCCCCAAAGATTCCTTTTTCTGTTTCTTTTTTTCTGATATTACATGATTGTTATAGAAAGTGTGAAAAATACAGAAACTATCCACTCTTTAGAGATGATCACTGTTAACATTTTGATATATTTTCTACTATGATGGTTAATTTTATGTGTCAACTTGGCTAGACTATGGCGCCCAGTTGTTTGGTCAAGCACCTGTGTAGATGTTGGTGTGAAGGTATTTTTCAGGTGTGATAAGCATTTAAATTAGTGGACTTTGGGTAAAGCAAGCTAACCTCCAGTGTGAGTGAGCCTCATCCAATAAGTTGAAAGCCTTAAGAACAATGACTGAGGTTTCCCAAAGAAGAAGCAATTCTGCTTCAACACCAAAATATAGAAGCCCTGCCTGAGTTCTAGCCTGCAAGATTTCAGACTCAAGACTGCAACATCAACTCTTCCCTGAATATCTAGTCTGCCATCTGCTCTACAGATTTTGGACTTTGCAGCCACCACAGTCATGTGGATTGATTCCTTAAAATGAATCTCTCTCTCTTTCTCCCTCTCCCTCTCCCTCACCCTCTGACCCCCATTGGTTCCGTTTCCCTGGAGAATCCTGACTTCCCATTCTTTTCCTCACTCATTTTCTCTGGAAAGCACTTCTCAAACTATGATGTATATGGCAATCACCTGGGAATCTTGTTCAAGGGCAGCCTTTGGGTCAGTAGGTGGTGGATGAGATTCTGCATTTCTAACAACCTTCCAGGTAATGCCCATGCTGCTGGTCTACAGACCGCCCTTTGAGTAGCACAGATTTATATAACCACCTTTTTTCCTTTAAACACTATCATGATCTCAATTATTCTCCTGAAACATTATTCATACTAATTGTATTTCATACCATCATAGGAACTCACATAGTTTAGTTAACCCATTTCTAATTGTTGGAATTTCAGTTTGGTGTATTTTTTTTCAATATTATGGAATTTTGCAATGAACATCCAAGTATATAAATCTTTATGTGAAGCATTATATCCTTGGATGATTTTGTCAAAGAAATTCCTGGGCCAAAATAGATACATTGCTCAGGCTTTAGAAACATACTTCCCAAAAGCTCTTTAGAAAAAATTGTCCAAGTATATTGGTCTATTCAGACTGCTGTAACAAAATACCACAGACTGAGTTAGCTTATAAATAACAGACATTCATTTCTCACAGTCCGGAGGATAGGAAGTCCAAGATCATGGCACTGGCCGACTCAGTGTCTGGTGAGGGTCCACTTCTTAGTTCATAGACAGTGCCTTGTGGCTGTAATCTTATATGGTGGTGGAACGGGTGAGGGAGATTTCTGAGGCCTCTTTTATAGGGTGCTAGTACCATTCATGAGGGCAGAATCCAAAATTACCTTCCAGAGGACCTATTTCCTAATAAAATCACCTATGGGCTTAGGATTTCAACATATGAATGCTGGGGGAACACAAACATTCAGATCATAGCACCAAATACATTCCCACCAGAGTGCTTGTTTTCTGCAGCAGCTCAAGCTTGCAGTCTCAGTCACTTGCTTTCAAGGGCTTCCCTGGCCTGTGATTGGTGCTCACATTGTCAGTGTCTGCTGGGCAGCAGAGCCTACCCAATACACATGGTTCTCATAATTCATTGTACATTCTTTCATTTATCTCTGTAATAATGTTACTTAATTATCCACTCAGTTGATGCTGTAAGTACCCTGCTGGGAGCTAGGGTATAGGAAACTTAGATCAACAACTAATCATAAAATTAATTTAATTATAGTTATGATACGTGGAGCTATAAGTGTATAACAATAATCTGGCCTAATCGAAGGGCCAGGGACTCTTCCTGAAGAAGTGTCATTTGAGATTAGCTTTGGCTGTTCTGAGGATGTGGCACTCAGTTCCCTAACTTTTGGCTAGTGATTTTCAAATAGGTGGAGGCTCTAATGACAGAACCTTGGAAGACACCTTTGGTGAGACATGGTCCACATGGAGTCTCCAAAGGTCTTTCAAGAGGTCCATTGTAGCTGCTGTTCCTCATGCTCCCAGTCATTCTATTGTGAAGATGACTCTGCAGGGGAGTTCCTTCCGCTGTCTACTCCTGGATAGAGTCTCAGTTTCCCATTACTGAATCTGAACATCATCTGATTTCCCATCTATACGTATGTGTTATAGGAAATGGAGCCTAAATAACAAGTTATTTTAACATAATTCATCATAGGCAAATATATTTGATCTTTGAATTGATCATTATTTTGACACTCTCCACCATTGCTGCTATCCGTATTAAGGATAATGATAGTTGAAAGAAAGAAATCAGTACTACAAAGCTACAGCACTCAAAATGGTGTGGTACTGACATAAGGATAAACATATAGATCAATGAAATGGAATTTAGAGTCCAGAAATAAACCTATATTTTATGGCTAATTGATTTTTGACAAGGGTGCCATGAGCACTCAGTAGGGGAAAGAATACTTTCTTTAATAATTGGTGTTGGGCAACTGGATATCTGCATACACAAAAAGTGAAGTTAGACCCCTACCTCACATCATATACAAAAATAACTCAAGATGAACCAATGACCTAAATATAAGAGCTAAAGTGATAAAACTTAGAAACCAACACTGAGGGTAAATCTTCATGACCTTGGATTTGGCAATGGATTCTTAAATATGATACCAAAAGCATGAACAACAAAAGAAAAAAATAGATAAATTAAACTTCATCAAAATAAAAACTTAGTATATCAAAAGACATTATTTAAAAAGAGAAAGACAACCTCCAGAATGGGAAAAATATTTGCAAATCATATATCTATGGGTCTAGTACCCAGAATACATAAGGAGCATTTACAACTCAACAACAAAAAGACAAATGACCCAATTTAAAAACAGGCAAATGACTTGAATATACAAAGATTTACAAATGATCAATAAGCACATGAAAACATGCTCAATATCATTAGTTATTAGGGAGATGCAAATCAAAATCTACAATGAAAAACTACACCAGGAAATTTTTTAAAAAAGAAAAGAAAAATATGGAAAATAAGTGATGACAAAGATGTGGAAAAATTGGAACCCACATAGATTGCTGGTGGGGATATAAAATGGTGCAGCCACTGTAAGAAAACATTTTAATGGTTCCCTAAAAAGGTAAACACAGAATTACTGTATGACCCAGCAATTCCACTCCTAGATATATACCCCAAAGAATTCAAAACTGGCACTCAAACAAATGGATGTACACACATATTCATAGCAGCACTATTCAAACTATCCAAAAGATGGAAACAACCCAAATATCCATCAACAGATGAATGGAAAAACAAAATATGGCACATCCATACAATAGAGTATTATTCAGCCATAAAAATAAATAAGGTACTGATACATGCTACACCATGGATGAACCTCAAAAACATTATGCTAAGTGAAAGAAATTGGACACAAAAGTTAACATAGAATATAATTTCACTTATAGAAAATATTTAGAATAGGTAAACCCATAGAGACAGAACGCAGGTCAGTGATTACCAGGGGCTGGGAGAAGGTGAATATGGGGAGCGACTTCATAATAGGCATAGGGTTCCATTTGGGATGATAAAATGTTTTGGTACTAGATAGAGGTTGTGGTTCACAAAATTATTAATGGTTAAATGGCTTATTTAAGTGATTAATTTTATGGTATGTGAATTTTACCTCAAAAATTAAATATCTTAACTAGACTTATTGTGGTAATTAACTCACAATATATCCATATAAATATTAAATAATGAAGAAAGAAATCAAGGCTAGATTCTTTCCCTCTTATGTCTGCCATATTTTATGGTTCAATTTTAAAACATAGTAGCAAAATCATGACATACCTTCGGTTATTACTACCTTAGGGTTTTATAAGATTCATACTAATGGGTCTTCCCATCATTTTCACCTATTCTGTACAATTTAGATTTCAGTCCAAGGCTTCAGGAGCATTGCAAACAGCTGCACTGGAATTATGCATCTGACCATCAATGACATGCCAACTCTGACGGACAGCTGTGTAAAAGTAGGTAGTTGGAAAGTACAGTTTCTTCTCAGTCCCATTAGATGGGCACATTTTCTAGTGGCTTAAATTATGGAAAAATATGAACAGGCTTTTCATTTCAGTTGCTTTTTTATAGAAAGAAAATAATTTAAAAATGTATGCACACACACACACACACATTTGAACAGTTGAACCTTTAAATGCCCTAAGAAACTTTGTTTCACAGGATATTTTTGTTTCAGTGATATTGTAGCCTAAGCATAAAGTTTAGTTCAACATGTCAAGCTTCTAAATGTAGTGATTTTTTTCAGCATTCCATTTTTTCATATTTCCCCATACTTTTGTAACATGATTTAATTCTGATTCCTCTGCATTACTCTAATATAAGTGTACTAAAATATATTGAAAAAAGTCCCAATTTCTTTGAAATTAAGAAAATTTAATAGTTAACATGTCCGTTTCTGAAAATATTGAGAGAAAAAAATTACCTCATTACTTTGCTATGCTTGTACTGTGGTTAATTTAATCATCTTTTTTGTTCCAAAGGCTTTAGTTGAAAAATGCCCTCGTATTGCATCAGTGGTTTTCATTGGTGCACCACATATCTCCGACTGTGCTTTCAAAGCTCTTTCTACTTGCAACCTCAGAAAGATCCGATTTGAAGGTCTGTGATATTAAAAATGTGAGATTCAGCATTAACTTTTACTCTTGTGGCAGTTCAAATACAATACTTGTTTTGTCTTCTTCTTTTATAAAACAGGAAATAATAGAATTACTGATGCATGCTTCAAATTCATAGACAAGTGTTATCCAAATATTAGTCACATTTACATGGTGGACTGCAAGGGAATAACAGATGCTAGCCTCAAGTCACTCTCACCTTTGAAGAAACTTACTGTGTTGAATTTGGCAAATTGTGTAAGGTAATGAGTCATTCAGTTATATATTCAAGAGCCGCTGAATATGTGGAATGTGCCAGGCCTCCTTAAGGAGTTCATTGGTTAGTAGAGTAAACATGAAAGTCATGAGCCCAAGGGGAGTTCAGTGTAGAATTCTGTGGTAACTCAAAGGAGGGGCACCTAACCCAGACTGGGTGCAGGGAGAATGGCAGGGAAAGCTCAGGATATGTGGAATCATGGACCCTTCTAAGAGTAAATGAAGAATCATTTTCTATTGACTTTCGGCTCCTCCTGGATTATAACACAGATTTTGTATATACATATATACATGCAGACACACATACACTCCCATATACAATATATGCATACACAAATATGAGAGAGAGAGAGAGAGAGAGAGAGAGAGAGAGAGAGAGAGAGTGTGTGTCTATTTTCAGGCTATCTTTTGTGTTACATTCATTTATCTGTCTTCTATCTAATCTTGCACAGTATTTGTCAAATGGAGAATATAAGATCATATACTCAGGATTGTTGTGAGGAACACATAATTAATCTAATGTGCTTAGAATAGTGTCTGGCACATAATAGGCACTCAAGTGTTTATTATTATTATTGCTTTATAATATGTCTTAACATCTGATAAGATGACACTCTTTTTATCAATAGTCTTCTTTTAATTTTATTTTTTTAGATATTTTTGCCAGTTTGTTCTTTTTTTTTTTGCCAGATATTTTTGCCAGTTTGTTCTCTGAATAAACTTAAGAATAATTTTGTCAAATTTCAGAAAAATTCTATTGAGCTATTAATTGAAATTTTGTTAAGTATATAAATTAATTTTGGAAAAATACAGTTTTATAATACTTATCTGATTTTCTCTTTATCCAAGAATTATTTATTAAAGAAATATTCAAATTTCTATTACATCTTTATGTCTAATTATCATTTGTTATTTATTTTTAGTTTTATGACATCATGGTACAAAATTATGGCCCACACAATTTCTATCTTTTGGAACTGAGAGTTTTTTATGTAGGGGTAAGAGTGTTGGGGAATATGATGGTTGTATTGTTTATCATGTTAATATTTTTAAATATTCCATGGAACTTAAATTACATGAATTATATTATTCAAATTTTTATGTCCCTTTTTTGTTTGTTAAAAGCTGAGTCTACCACAAAATTGTATCTTAATATGTTCATTTTGAATTTCTAATTATTTTTGCTTTATTTTGTATTTATGCTATGTTATATGTTAAAATTACCAACAATCAGACTGGCCTTTGATTTCTTTTCTGTAATAGAAAATATTCTTATAGTTAAAATTTATATTATTTTTGTTTATATTTTTATTATATGTAATAAATAAATATATAATAAATATAAGTATTTGGTATTCCTGTTACAGAGGAAATCCAAGTCCAGTCTTGATTTTTATTTGTTAACATACACACATGTACATTTTTATATCACTATATTATCACACCATTTCACTGTACACAATTTCAAGGGGGGAAAGAAGATGATTCCAAGATTCTATACTGAATCATATTTATCTTCATTGGGGGTGGTACCTTTAATCAATATAAAATTACCCTGTTAGTCTTGCTTAATACTTTTAGTATCATAGTATTTTGACTCAATATAAAATTCTCACACCTGTAATAATTTTATTTACATTTGCCTAATACATCTTTGTAAGTAACTTCTTTTGGTTTTGTTGTCATTTTATTTTAAATGTGTTTTTTGAAGACTAACAATTTAGACTTAATTTGTCAAAACAATTTGAGAATCTTTGTCTTTTAAAAGGGAATATTTTCACCTTTATATTTATCATTATTATAAAACTGATATATTTGGTCTTTTTTTTTTAATTTGGTCTTCTTTTGCTTCTTCTATGTATGTGTTCTACTATTTGCACTTATTTTTTACCCTTTTGTTTGTTTTTTCTTTTTTTATTAGTTTCAGGTGTACAAAGCAACGTAATAGTTAGACATTTACACCCCTGACAAGGTGATAACCCCCCTCCTGCAACCTATTGGGTCTTCGGAAAAATCATGACGTATTTTGTCTATGTTTTTCAAAGGTCATTTATTTATATAAAGAACAAAGATCAATCAATGATATATTGCCTGTTTTGTTCGATAACCTTTTGCCATCTTTCAGTGAGCTTCATAATTCCTTGTTCATAGAAGGACCTGTCTTTATTTGAGAAAAACTGAACAAGGTGCTGATTTACAGCCTCATCTGCATTGAACGTTATACCATGCAAGGAGTCTTGAAAAGAGCGAAACAAGTGGAAGTGTGACGGTGCAAGGTCAGACGAGGAGTGTCGTTGAGATCAAAATCATCAGCACGGAATTTCGTGAACCATCATTGGCACTGACGTTCTTGTAGAGCATTGTCAATGTAAACTTTATGCAACTTTTCACAAGCTTGATACGCGTTCTTTTCTTTATGGAAGTAAAACAGTAAAATATGGCAAAAACACACTGTTTGGTCTTCCATCTTCAACTTGTAAAATCTCCAAAACTCAACCAAATCACTCAATTTTTTTTCAGACTGAAGCTAGAACTGTCTGCTGTCAAATGACATAGCAATAACATAGATGCGAATGACTCTAGTACTTCCAAAAATGAACTATCACCATCTGTTGCAAACATGCATCATGACTTTTCCAGAGACCCAATACTACCCCTCTAACATCTTATATTGCTGTTACGATATCATTGACTATCTTCCTTATGCTGTACTCTACCTCTCATACTATATATATATATATATATATATATATATATATATATATATATATATATATATATAATTATAGTTGACATACAATATTATTCTACTTCAGCTTCAGGTGTATAGCGCAATGGTCAGGCATCTACACAGTCTATGAAGTGATCCCCCTGATAAGTCCAGTGCCCCTCTGGCACCTTACATAATCTTTACAACATCAACAATGTTTTTTCTTTTTTAATGTATGGATTATGTTTTGCTATTTTAAAAGCTTTTATATATCTCTGATTATTACATTTTTAAATGTATTTTTGTACCTCTGTCAAGAATCCTCTTAACTCAAAGATTGAACCCGGGCCTGCCGAGTGGCACGATGGTTAAGAACTGGTTTGGGACGCCAGAAGGCCCCGGTTCGGATTCCACATATGAGGGCCAGTGACACTGCCCTCCACAGCTAAGATGCTGAACAACAGCTCAACCTGGAGCTGGGCTGCCATGTGTCGCTGGCGACGGTGTAGGCTGCAGCCCCTGTGGCAGTGGGTTGCCATGGGCTAACGTATGCAGCCAGCGTGAGCGGCCAGCAGCCACTGTGAGCGGCCGTCCAGAAGCCGGAGACGGATCTGCCTCACCTGGGAAGAGCGCAATGATGATGCCAACTTGGGCCAGTGAAGCAACGTCCTCCACAACTAGACTGAAGAACAAAAAGGACAGCAACTTGTCTGTTCCCCTCCCCCCAATTCCCCAGTGCTGTTCCCATCCCCCCAATTCCCCAATAAAAATCTTAAAAAAAAAAAAGATTGAACCCTAATTCCCTGTTTTGTATCTCAATGCTTTTTTAATCCTTCATTCTTATCATCTGCATTCCAAAGGAATTTTTCAAATATGCCTTTTACTTACTAATTTAATTTTCTAAAGGGTCAAGCTTGGTTTTGATGCCTTAAATTAGGTTATCCTTTTCACTGAATTTTTAGTTTCTTTGCCTAAAAATCTGTTCTTATCTCAAGTGGCCATCTTTTCATATCAGAATGCATCTTAGACTATCATTATTTTTGTTTCAGCCATGTCGCTCCTTATTACTTTCTACTTGTCTTTCACACTGTTTAGTATGTTCTGTTTTTGCAGTTTAAAAAAAAACATTTCAGAGGTATGCTTTCTCAAGTCTTATACATCCCATGCTATATTTTATTTCTTTGTTAGTAAAAATATCTCTCCATGAATACTACAGCCCTGGTGTTTGCCAATAGATGAGTTGATCAGTTGTGTTTGGATGCCTCTCCTCACTGTACCCCTTTCATCCCCCCCCACCCCTCTGCCCCAAGCCCTTAACTGCTTTCCCAGGTGCTGGCACAGTCCCCGTCTCATATTACAGATGGAGAGTGAGTTGGACACAGAAGAAGACATCCACTTACTATGGCCCATTCAACTGAACAGGATCATCGTCTGCTTGTATCTATTGCTCAGTTCTTTGCAAATCTGACCAAATGGAGGGATAAAAGATGTCAGCAATCAGTACATACTGTCCCAAGCCTCTTCTGGTCTGTACATCCACCCATAGGGCTGTTGTGTGTGAAAGCCGCCTTGCTTAGAATGCAATGTGCAGCCTCCAGTCCTGCTTTATTTCTTGAAATGCTTTTTTAGAAGGAATTGGTGGTCTTTCAATGGAAGTAGAAGTAAAGATCCCTATAGAACCAGCTCTTGGTTTCATTGATCTTTTGTATTGTTTTCCTGGTCTCTGTTTCATTTATTTCTGCTCTGGTCTTTATTATTTCCTTCCTTGTACTCCCTTTGGGCTTGTTTTGCTGTTCTTTCTCCAGTTCCTTTAGGTGTAAAGATAGTCTGTTGATATGAGATTGTTCTTCTCTCTTTAGATAGGCCTGCAATGCTATGAATTTTTCTCTTAGGACTGCTTTCACTGTGTCCCATAGATTTTGGGTTGTGGTGTTTTCATTTTCGTTTGTCTCCAGGTATCTTTTGATTTCCTCCTTGATCTCATCTTTGACCCACTCACTATTTAGTAGCATGTTATTTAGCCTCCATGCATTCATGAGCTTTCTGGATTTCTTCTTATGATTGATTTCTAGTTTCATAGATGAAGGAGAAGGGGAAGGGATGAGACGATACAAATTGGTAATTACAATATGGCCTCAGGGATAGAAAAAGACAGTCTGAGGAATATAATCAATAATGTTGTAAATATTTCTTAGGGGGGCCAGATAGACTCATGTCCTGTTGGGGAGATCACTTCATAGTCGATGTAGAGGTCTGACCACTGCACTGTATTTCTGAAGCTGATGTTGAATAATATTGTATGTCAACTATAATTATATATACATATAGTCACGGGACATGGAGTAGGGAGTGGGAATGGAATAAATGGAATTGTAATAGATAAGCATGATATCGGGGGTGGGAGAGCAGTACATGGGGGGAGGGGGGTTGTTACTTTGCGAGGGTGAAAAGGATAACTATTGCATTGTTCTGTACATCTGAAACTAACAATTAAAAAATTAAAAAAATAAAATAAAATAAAATGATGATGATGATGATTAAAAAAAAGGAGATCCCTATAGAAGACAAGGAACTGATGGGCCAAACAGACCTCCAACCATTTATAAAGCAAGACCAACACCATTGGGATGGGTGTGGTGCTGGCACACACGTATCTCTGATTAGGGACAGAGTGTGGGAAGACTGAGGTCAAGGTCTTATTTCAGGTTTTCTCTGCTTCAGAAGGAAAGGATCCATAGGTCACATATTAGGATTTCAGTCCAACTAAATTGACTTTGTATTTAGTGGAAATTCTTCCAATATCCTGGCAGTAATTTGACTGTTAGTCTTGGTTCTCGCTCTATTAAGTTTTGGTCTTTTTCTTTTGCAGATTGCATCAGGGACTGCTTAACTTGAACACCTTTTAATCCAAGAGAAAGAGACCTTAAGGACCATCTGTCTTCTTAATAGTTATAATAATTATGCCACCTAATTAAATGAATAAATGAATAAGGATAGCATTTTTATTAATACTTCTCCCATTCTACCATTTATACTTTTTTTTGTTAAACTAAAAGTCATATAATCAAATTTGGTTTTAAAATGTTGAAAAATATACCAATATAAAGATATTACCTTGCTACTTTGGAATATATTAGGTATTGTAACCATTATTTAAATAGTATTCTATATACTTATATATCAAATTATATGTAAAGCTATTTTTATTATTTCTTACAGAATTGGTGATATGGGACTAAAGCAATTTCTTGATGGTCCTGTGAGCACAAAGATAAAAGAGCTAAATTTAAGTAACTGTATCCTGAGTGATGTCTCTATTGTGAAACTATCAGAGCGGTATGATAAAACAACAAACAATATTTTACATAATATCTTTAGTAATTGTATATTTGCTAACAGGAGAGATCAGAAGTAGACCTTCAAAGCCATTTGGAAAACATCAGGGATACCTAGAAGCTGGCCTAATACTCAGCAAAACCAAATAAAAGACATTGAAGGCAGAGATTAAACTACTCTTTTGATTATATCTGAGTTCTCATTAATTTCACCTTAGAGAAAGTTTGAAATGGAGTCATTCATGAAGTTATGAGTATCTAGACATGAGTGACTTCTCTGTACTTTTCAAGTTATCTCTATGTAAACCTTTACTCCAGCATTTCCCAAGAAATGTTCTAGCCAGTGGGTTTATTCTTGATTCTCCTTACTTGTCAGAGGTCTTGTGTACACTAAGGGTCAAGCCCAAATCCTGTAGCAAGCTTGTAAGGAATAAGTGAGAAACTTAACCTTGCACTTTTAGTAGTCATTCATTGTGATACTTGCATTATAGCTTTTTATATGTATGTGGTCATCTTTTTTATTAGAAATTGCAATCTGAAACAAAATCACAGAAAGAATGCCTTATATAATAATCCACCTCCCTTTCATTCAACTTTGTAATGACAAATTATTTTCTACTTTTAAGCTTACTTTTATATTGAGAATAGGAAAATTCTTGCTTCTATACCATTTGCCTTCCCAGATAGTTTTTATGTGAAGAAATTGCTACTGACAGTGTGATTAAAAGCTAAAATTATTTTTTCATGCTGCTTTCTTTCAGCTGCCCTAATTTAAACTACTTGAGTTTACGAAATTGTGAATATTTGACTGACCTAGGAATTACATATATTGTAAACATCTATTCCTTGGTGTCAGTAGATCTCTCTGGAACAGACATCTCTAATGAGGTAAAAAAAAATGCTCAAAACAGTTCAATAACTTTTATTGTTTTCTGCAATATAATCATTTTCCATTTTGTAAACAATGGCGAGAACAACAATTAGTTTTATTTCTTAAATTATTAGATTATAAAAAGCAAGTTTAGAAATACTGTTTCTGGAATAGTGATAGATAAGGTCATTTGTAAATCAAAGGTCTTGTTTCTCTATTTTAAAAAATGGCAAAATACAGTATTACGAGGAAAGTCCTGACAGATTGGAGTGTTACATGATAGATATAGAATTTGCTTCATAATAGAAGTTTGGTCAATGTGGAAATATTATATTTTAGATGGCTTAAGTGTATTTTTTTTTGTGGATTGCACATTCTATGAGACTACATGAGTGTCTTTGGAGTAACTGAAGTCTACAAATGGCCTCATTAAATCTACAAAAGGATACGTTTTAAGTAACTTATTTCCTGCAAGCTGCCAATGCGACTCATTAGAGTTGAAACTCAGGCCACACCCATCCTATCACCCTGGCGCTACTGCATTTACTAGGCAAAAGACAGATAAACCCAGAAAGATTTGCCATGTTTCTGAAAGACTTTAATGGGTTTTTTTTGAAAATCAGTGCGTCAGGAGGGATATAGGAAGACAACAGAGGTGAAGCTCTTTTCCCCATCTGCTTACTAAATCCCTATTCATCTCCTAAAATCACCAAATATCACCTGTCTGTGAGGCCTTCTCTGAGAAGACTTACCTTACAGGCCAGTACAGGAACTTCTCTCTGTGCCTCTTCAGCCTCCATACATCCTTTAACATGGCCTGTGTCCCGTAAGATTATTGACATCTGTGTTATGTGTTCACCCTTCCCCAAGATTCAGTGGGCTGTTTTTAGATGAAGGACTATGTCTGTACATTGGTCTAGGTTCTTTTCTAGTGAATTTAGATTTAGCCTCCATTCTGCTAGGTGGTCTCTTCTCCCCGTCCTTGGAGTATCATCTAAGTGTGATATGAGAGTGGGGGTGGGAGACAGATATATGTAGCCAATTCATTATGATGGAGTCCAGTTTTATCTTCTCAGTGTTGTCTTCTGTCCAAGCTAGAATCCACGGAGATCTCTGAGGGCCCACTGAGTCTTTGGTTTCCTGTCTAGGTAGATCCCTGATGTGTTTTCCTTGTCCTGGCATCAAGGACCCTTTGATCGAGCCCTTCAGGCTCCTTTGTCATATGTGCTTTACTCTGGGCTCCTCTGAGTCATGCTGAGGCATGGGGACTCTCTGAGGCTATCTTAAGTCCATAGTCCTAGACATTCCTGAAGACATTTTCCTGCTCTCAGGTCTAGGTATATTTGCCCTCAGACCCATGCTTCACCTTTCTCTCACCATGCTACAGCGTTACTGATTCATTTCAGGGAGATTCCAGTTGGGTTTGGTGCTTGTGAGGCATTTATGAAAGCTGGAGGGTCAGAGGAAGGAAGAGACCAGGATTTTCTTCCACCTGTCTTTGAATCATCATCAGCAGCTGCATTTCCTTTGTGATATACTTCCTCTTCAGGCCTGCTATGGTTCCAGCTTCCCTGGATGACCTTGGCCCCTGGGCTCCAATGACACCATCTTTTTCATTGTCCTCCCAGCGTAGGGTTAGTAGTGGCTTCTTGCTACTGCTAATCTCCAGATTATGTCATTATGGCTTTGGCTTCTCAGCTTCTTTACCACCTATGTAGCCAATTTCCTGTCACAATTAAATTTCCTCAGTTTTAAATAGAGTTGTTTCTGTTTTCCTGTTAGATCTTAGCTGAGACAATATGAGCACAGGAAAACTCTGATGCCTTGCTTTTTACAACCCAGCCAGGGAAGATGGGATTGGTTCCTATTTACTTAGATCCCCAAACCCATCAGGAGTTTCCAACTTTCCCTCCAGCTAAATAGAGGCCAGGGAGGACCAGAACGTGTCCTGTATGAGGGACCTTCCAGCATCTCATCCTTTTGCTCCCCTCTGACTCTCCCTTCCCCTCTATTTTCCCACCCTCCCCTCCTTTCCCCTCCCTTTCTCTCCTCTTCCCTTCTCTTCTCCTCCCCCCTCTGCTCCTCTCCCCACCTCTCTTCCTTGCTCCTCTTCTTTGCTCTTGGCACAGATTCTTTATCTAACTTGCGGTGGAAAAAGTGTTCTGACTGATTACATGGTTTTTAAAAATGTTATGCCCCAAGTCTTTCAGAGTTTATGATTTGAAGCTTAAAGACCTTAAAAGCTTAAAGAGAAAGGATTTTTTTCTCCTGTGTTCTGCTGTAACAACCCTTCCCTGACACATGCAAGTAGAATGCCCAGCTGTTGTCTGAAGTGTCACAGGGTAACAAGAAGTAGAGGATCACAGCACATTATAAAATACATCAAAATACAATTCCACTGCAGCACTGCTCATAAGCCCACAGTGTCTGGCGAACATTTGTTGAATGAAGGGAGTGAGGCTTAAATGCCCTATCTTAGTTTTTAGCGTTTGGGGAAAACTCAGTTTTTATTTTCAAAGACCATAAATTAAAATTCTATCTACTGAGGACAAGTTAAAAACTTAGGAATATAGCCTCAACTCCCATTCACTGTTTTCATTTTCTTGTAAAGAACATACATAATCTGAAAGAGCTATAAATAGACATCTATGGGGAAGAGTGCTAGTTTTTTTCTGCTAAAAGACTGAAAAATAAGTCTTCTGAAGGTTGTTGTTTTCTTCCTCCAAATCACTTAAACTCTGATCTAAAAGGCAAATGATTGACAACACAACAGCTGTGGAAGCTAACCTCAAACAGTCAAATTAAAATGAGTCACTCAGATGTAAACTTGAGCAGCTGAACACCAAGCTTAGATTGCACATCTGATGAAGTGCAAATTTGACTACAGATTTAATGTTCAGGATTTAAACTCTGGAATTTTACAGACACTCACCAGAGATCAACTGGGAGCAGTTGTACCTTTTGAAAAAAACAAGTTTCCTATGTTTTCTAATAATTATGTTCACTCTCAATCCTTATTAATAGTGAATTTTCAGTTAGAATCACACTACTCATTTAGTTAACCAGTATTTATTTTGACTACCTGTGCTCAGTGCTGGGGGTGCTGGAATGAACAAAGCAAACATGGCCCCTCTTCTGAAGCACTTACATTCTAGTGGAAGATAGGCATGGGGCAAGTGGTTAGAGAGTGATGGACATGGGAAACAAAAAGAAGGGAAACTTAACCTGGCTCAGAGAGTCAGGGAAGAAGGAGAAGGGGTATGGGATGAATCAAAGAAACTGCCTGAACAAAGATACAGAGGTTTAAAAGTATGGTGGTATCAAAGAAATCTGCACATTTGGATATGGCTTGATTGCGAGGAGAGTGGTGAGAGATGACGTTTGAGAGGTAGGCAGGCGTCAGGTCCAGGTGGTATCTCTTCCACAGTGGGAGGAGAAGGTTTGCTGCAAGTTGGAAAAATGGCCATGTTTAATTTGAGTTACCTGCAAGACAGCTTTATACATAGAGAGCTAAGGAAATAAGCAGAGAAATCATTGAAATTCATTCTTCAGAGAGAGCTATAAAAGATTTTTAGGTTTGCTGATGGTGAAGGGGGCATTGTATTCTGAAAATCTTGGAAACTCATAAGGCAGTTATTTAGCAAAGGCAAAAATACAGGTATTTAGAAATCTAGAAAGTTGTTTCAGAGAGATAATTTAAATGGGGGAACAAAGAGAACACAGTTATTTCAAGCTATATACACTTATAATAATTTTATTGTACTCGGTGATTTTTTTTGTAGAAAATAGTGACTAATGTATTATCCATAAATGAATTTGTTTAATAAGTTGTCTAATAAGCAGATTTTAGGGAAACATGAAATACACCAACTTTCCTCTCCCACTACAAAGAGGATAGGGTTTATAAATGAGGTAAATATATGGCTAATGTGATGGTATCTTAAAGTATCTTTAAAGGTCTTTAATCTTCTATAACTTTTCTTAACGTCTAATTAAATGGGATGTCATTCACTCCCTTCCTACCCCAGAGGATTGTTTGAAGATGAGGTTATATCTCCATTTATATGGAAAAATGTTTTCTACCAGTTAGGAGAATTATCATTTACCACAGGATCCACAATTAGGGCAGTTCAATCTGTTGCTTCAGTTGCCTTAGTCACTGCTGTAATCGTTGTTTGAAGGAAAAATGAGTCAGAGCAATGTTCCAGACGGTGTGCTTAGACAGTGGTTTAAGAAGATGTTCATTTGCCTGATTTTCAAAACCTTTCACTTTGAGTACTATTTAGATCTTGAATCCTATTATTTAGGAAGTCCCCTCACTAGAATGTAAGACCCATGAAGACTGAGACTGTTTTGTTCACTGCCGTTTTCCCAGAACCCTGGTGGGTAATAGACACTTGATAAACATACACTGAATAAAAAAATCAAAAAAAGCTGAGCTCTAGGTTACCAAATGTGAATAAGACCTGTTCTCTGCAGCCCAGTTTGGAAGAGTAAGTATGGGTAATTTAAATATGGTGCAGCAAGTGTGGTGATAGCAGAAGCAGAGGAAAGGATGTCAACTCAGCCTGCCCAACACAGAAGCATGCAAATGCATGTTTGTTTCAGGAGCTTCATGTAGCTTAGTACTACTAGAACATACTGTGAAAAGGAGAAGTCATGAGGGAATTTCATGCTATGCCAAGGAGCTTGGACTTGAGCCAATGGATGATGCACTTAGTAGGGGAATCACAGTCATAGTCAGCCTCCCATTTTAGATAGATGATTTAGGTTGTTCTCTGGAGGATAGATTGGAGGGGAGAAAGACTGGAGTCAGGGAGACCAGGGGAGGTATTTTAGTAGTTAAAGAAAGAGACGAGGACTTCTTGAACTGGGTCAAATGCCAGAACTAGCATGGAAAGAACATATTCATGGATATTTAGGAGGTAAAACTGAAAGAATTTGGTGATTGATTCATTGCAAAAGAATTTGGTGAATTGATTCAAGATGAGGACTGGGGGTGGGGATGTAAGACTAA